GGCTAAAGCCACCTGAACGAAATTTGCTGAACCATCGTTGACACTTACGAACGTTCAAAACATTTCCATAAACTTCTTTGATATTCTTTGTGACTGCTGAGACGTTGTTTACCCTTCTTGTATTCAAACAGCATTACATGCCGAATGTATGTCCTGTCGTGTGCCATCAGTATAAGGGATTAGAGTATACTAAATTTTACACATTATATATGCTACACTATCGTGATGTTTAGGCGGTTCGTTTAATTATTATACGTGATATACGTTTTATGTGGGGTGGTTAATTTCTTGACGACCTAATATAAAAACACCAGAAGGTTGTTCATCAGTTAGTTAGTAAGTCTGTTACAGTGTTACCAATAATTACTGGGTTAGCAACTGTATTAATCAGCCAGTTTTGAGGTTGTGCCCTAAATACTAGAAGAAAATTTAACAAGTAGGTGACCTTTAATTTTATCTGTGACTTAGACCTATTGCTCTGCTTTTAAACTGGCAGAAGAAGAAGAAATAAAAATAAGTATATTTTGCACAAACAGTTATATCAAAAGCGAACTCAAACCGAGAAGTAATTTATCAAAGACGAATAACAATTTTCATCTAATAAATAATCACATTTAAATAGAAAATGAGTGAAGGGCTAAGAAAATATAATTTTGATATGTACAAAATACAAGAGATACGCAGTCAGAAGAAACCAAAAACAGCAAAAAAGATGCACTTTATAATTTTTTTAAATCCTAGTACATCAGCAGAAGATTTTTTCATTTGTTGTTAAGCCTAAACCAACACAATGGACTATCTGTGTTGTCTCCACTATGGATATCGAAATCTGGTTTTTAGCTTTAAAAGCCTTCAGACTTTCCGCTGGGCCACTGGGAGATGGGGGCTCAGCTGAAGAAATAGTTGACAATGAACTAAAAGAAAGTAATGACTAATATAAAGCAAAATACACTGAAGTAGCAGAAGAGAATTTTCTACATTTCGAAAAAATTAAAGATAATAAAATACGGGCATTTGACATTACGGATATTGATCCATGATAACAAAATATAATATGATAACTAAAAAAAAGAGATAAGATAAAACACATTGAAAACCTTGTTTTTCCACCTTATTAGAATGAGTCTGGAAGACGCTTTTCAGAGAGTAATACAGTTTCCAGAAAATGAAAATTATGAAACAAGTGTCACATTTGTGATTGGTGTATTTTTTCAAATTATTCGTAGTGTTCTCTTTTTATGTAAATATTTTGTGACGTAGCTAACTCCTAAAGGTTTTGGTTCCTTAAAGTATATTCAACTAAACTGTAGAATCTGAAGAGAAAAGTAATGGTCATGTGGAATGAAATGAAAAGAATTAGGACTCCAGTTGAAAATGTAGATAGTAAAGCTCGAAATTTAATGGTAGGATTTAACAGTATAGTTGTAATAGCTATGCATTTCGTATAGATAAATTAAGCTTTTCCTGAACTACTGATGGGTTAAGTCCCCATAGAAATTAAAATAATTTATCGGAGGAGAAATTATGGTAAAGTTTGATCTCGTAAGGAATGAACATGCTGGTAGTTTCGTAAACAACGAAGCAAGTCGTCATTATTTGAGCCATCAAGTCCACGATGAGTTAACACTCCCCAAAAAAG